CACGTGAACGGATAAGCATGCTGGCGTGAGTTACGCTTTGGATTTTGGCCGAGACTCGAAAGTATCCGGGAGTTTCTTCGCTCCTCGAGGAACCCGTGGCGAGTTCCTAGCAGACTATCGGGCTGTGCAAAAACCACGGCGTCGACACGGGATCTCGGGCCAATAAAACAGAAAAGATGCTAAACCACCTAGAGCGCAACCTATTCTGCCGTGGAAACTAATTCGACGCTCGATTGAGTTTTGTCAGCCCTTCGAGAGTTTTCTTCTCGTCAAAGTGATCGTGGAATTGAATTATACAGAGCTGGAGATCAATCGCGGATCGCGAATATCGCTGCACAGGAAACTCGAATTTCTGATGTGCCGTTGGAACTTCGAAACTCGCCAGTTTGAGAGAGAGAGAGAGAGAGAGAGAGAGAGAGAGAGAGATTGTTAGCGGATTCTGTGTTCGAAGACAACATTCAGCTTTGATTGCGTTTGCGAAAGTAATCAGACTCTCGCAGGCCGCGATAAGAGACTTTTTTGTCATAGTTTGCGCATGACAGGGCGAAATGTTTTCTTTCAGTTATTCGACTGTTTAGAGAAAATCGATCACGCCGTGTTTCGTCATCAAACAAATCCCGTACTCGTACTCGTCATCAGGCAGGTGTCAGTGTACTAACCGAGCATGAATTTCATCGAAGCGAACGGACATATTCATTCGCGTAATTAAAATTCGCTTCTCAATTTTTTACTCAACGTTACAACATGATACGCAGAATCACTCATCGAGCCCGAGAGACAAAACACGCGGTACCTGCTGCTGTTTCCTCGCGAACTAATTCTTCACCATCCCCGAATCAAGCTGTGCTTCCAGTTAAAACAGCCACGTCCCCGTGTCTGGCAGACACACACACACAGAGGGGGAAACGTTCAACATCAGAGGGGGTGGCTGGTAACGCGACACGGTGTACAGATTAAAGTTTCCTCGGGAAGACGTCGCGAGCAAGAAGCGTTCTCGGATTTCGTTTCCACGGCGATTCCGTTTCCACGCGGATCATCCACCTCGTTGTGATGGAAGGACATCGAGAAGGGATACGAGCGGATGGAATTCCCCCTATTTCAGCTTCTGACCGATCGAAACGCGAAACGATGGTCCATTAATAATCCGCGAGGCAAACGTCTGGTTTCTAGCAAGGAACAGAAATTTGGAGTTTTAAAACGACTCGCAGTTCGCTCGGCTACCGCTATTTTAATGGACAGTTGACTTAAAAGGCGGTGCTTCCCTAAAATGGTGGCCTGCTGTGGTGGCGTTCTGACTTTAATGCGACGAGGATGGCAAGTAGCGGGTGAAAGCTTGCGAAAAAAAATGCCTGGGCAGGATAATGGCGGCGTCTGTGATAAAAAGAGGAACCGACAGGTGCCGAGCGCTGGCGAGACACTGATGCGGACCGATCCTCGCAAACTTGCGTTTTCCCCCGCGAGACGTTGTGCGACTTGGCGAGATCGATTAATTTCTCGCCCGTCTTATCTTTCACCGTGACTCCACGATGCCACAATGTGTTTCACGACGCTCGTACTCTCTGCACGGTGATGAATTAACCGTGTCTTTTCCGGTTAATGGTAAATTTTCAAACTCGACTTCGCTTTTCCACGGAATAATTGTATATAAAACTTGACTTGCAATATATTATTGAGAAAAACTTTGTTTCAATGTGTTAATGTTTCTTATTGATAGCTACGTAGCTACTTATATTTGTAAAGAGTAAGACAAATGAATGGACGTAACGTGTACGTCAGTAGTACACTTGGTATTTGGTCAGACTGGGTTTCATCAGATGTTTCTTTTCAAGTACGGTAAAACTTCGTTTACCGTTTATCTGAACGAGAGACAAGACCGACGTGATGATAGATTCTCATTCGTTTCCTACATACTCTATTCTAATAAGAGATAATAGACAAGGATAATAAGTTATAGATCAATTATAGGTTCGTATATTTGAGACTCAACATTAATTGGTTTGTATAAACAAAGTTCTACTGTAACGGTTCTATTGTAAAACTATATTTGAAAAAAAATTTGAAAGTGAAGAATTGGACAAAATGTACATAATATAAAAAAAAGTACGTAAAATATGCAGAATATGATGCTTTTTATAATAAACGATAAGTAATAAAATTTTCCATCAAGGTTCTTTTCCTTTAAATCAAACTTTCAAAAACATGAATTTGCATGAAAATGTGCATTTCAGTAGTGTTATTTATGATAAACAAGACGATTAAATGGATGCAGCGTGTGCGTCAGTAATAGTGTACCTGCATTAGTCAGACTAAATCTCGCTTAATAATATTCTCGCATATTTTTTCGTCGAATTAAAAATTCAGTGTCAGCCAGTTCGTTCTTCGAGCGCGTTACTCGCAACCAAGTCTTTAAAGATTTTTTTCCCCCTCGACCGTACTTACGCCAGCAACGCGCTTTTGATTTCACCGTTGAAGGTGATGCGAAACCAACGAACAATATGTTCATCTCGCATTCGATTCCGCGTCTTCTTCGTTCCAGTCGGCGGAGCATCTCAACTTGCACTTTGATCATTAGCCATCTATTGTTCCAGCCGCTCATCCACGTTCGACCTATTTTATGTCTTACGAATCAGCAGCTCTCTGGGCCCAAGAACGAAGTACGCCGACGAACCACCGTGTTCACAGCTAGGACGTTAACAAGGGTTGATTACGATCGCTTGGATAATAACGCGTGCACTATGGCGAGAAAGGGACTCGGTCCCTCGTCGCGAAGATTCTCGTCGAAAGATGCTGTCGTTTACAAGTATGTAGAGAACAAGGTCTGACGAGAGAAATTTTCGAAAAGCTGAAGTCTTGATACTTCGCTTTAAATATCTAAAACATCGAACTACAGGAAGTACACTCTTTACTTCTTCTCGTATTAAAGACCAACGTTGTTTCGTAACATGCATGTTTGATTATTCTGTGCATTTGCGCAATCAAACTTTAAGATATCGAGCTTGAACGATTCAAGTAATCCCCGTCTGGTTATATAAAATTCAGAAATACGTTCAAGAAAACGCACGTCGTCGTTTGCAACTCGGCACGTTCACGTTTTCTACGACGAGATGTATAAATTAATGCGACAAAGTATTAACAAGCTCACTGAAATATCCGCTCTCTTTCTGGATGCACTCCGGTAGATATCGACGTTCCTTTGAGCCGGAGCATTCCGATCCAGGAAATGCGTCCAAGTCGGCATCAACAACGGTCGGATCCGTTTCGAGTAAAACAACGACAATTGAAACAACCGGCGCGGAGGTGGAAACTCGGTGACGTCGCGCGGAAGCTCGCACGGTGCCCCGCGAGCACAATGCTCGTAATTAGGTTATAACCTATTTATGGGAAGCAGGAACGCGCGATGAACGCGCGTAAAAGCTGCCGCGGCCATTCGGAATCAGCTCGTATTTTCAGCGATGTCGGTGCATTTTGTTTACGACTCGGAGCACTCCGGGCTGCCCGGAGAAACACCCGACGACCCGTGGCGGACGTTTCGGCCATTAGCATTTCGGACGCTCATGATTTATTCATGAAGAAGCCAGAGTGTGCACGAACGAACGTTCCTGTGGGCTCTGTCCGCTACCCGTGGCAAACGCGTAACAATGCATTATGATTTACTGCGCGAGAAATCCTACTGTGCGTGTGCGTCTAAGCAGACGCGCGAAATCCTACGAACGAATTAATAATCGCGGTCACTCGACGTCATTGAAGAAACATCGCGTTTCTGAAAAGTCTCTGTCGCATACGCGGTACGTCCGATAATGAGGGATATACGATGATTTTAATCTGCACCGTAATACCAATATTTGCATAAAATCTGCATGAATACGTTATGAACGGTATACGTTGAATTTTATCGAGATAAATACCATTTATAATTATGAGATGAAATATATACATATATATATATATATATATATCTATTGATAATCAAAATGCAAATGTTTCCTATTGGTCGTATCGATTGAGGCGTACGTTCGAGACAGAAATATAAAAATAACCGACTGAATTGCCGGTTAGAGTAATTAGAGGAGTGACGATCAAACGACCGGGACAAAAATTCTACTTGAGACAAGCATTGCGTCATTTCTCTTTAAATCGTCGAGTAAGTAAAGGCAAAGATAAGTACCGCCGCTACCAATTTCTCTTCTCCTTCCTTCCCTCCTTTTATTTCCTTCCTCTCCCTTTCTCTTTCTACTTTCTCCTCTTTCATTGCCCTCTTTTCGTTTCGTTTCGTTTCGTTTCCTACAGTTACATCTCTTCTCCTATTCCGATTTCCCTATCATTCTCTCCCTTTCCAGCCTGTCCTATCTCATCTTTGCTTTCTTCTCTGTCTCTCCTATCGTTCTTACTCACTTCTATCCCCTTTTCCCAACGTGCCGGAATTCGACGGAGTTCTTTCCATCATTTCCAGTTTCAAATCGAACGGATCTGTCGGAGCTTCGGTATCGATCCAATTGCCCGGGTCAATGGCTCGCGATAATATTCGCCAACTAAAGGGTATTAAAATTTTAACAGACATTCAGATTTAAACGACTTTAATCCAGCGCGTTCAATTAACCAGTCTAATGCTTCCGCCGCGTAATCCTTGGCCGTACCTTCCTGCCCCGCTTTATGAATTTGCATAAGCAGTCGCAGTCGGATTTTCCAGCAGTTTGCAAGGACGAAGAAATAAACAACTAGGCTGGGCCAGTGTATGGCCATTGCCGCGGTCGAAATCTCGCGTCCACCTGAGCCCGCGCGTTCCAAGCGTCGCGACGCTACTTCCGCCGTGGATGAGTGCGTGCAAACTCTGCTCGTACTTACCGCGAACGCGGTCAGAGAAATTCCCCGGCGCATTTGTCGGCGTTAAATATTCAACGGGCGGAAAGTTCGACGTTCAATGGACAAACGATCAGGAGCAACGCGATCAGATGTGTGTGTGTGTGCGCGCGCGTGTGTGTGTATCACTGTGTAAAACTTACCGGTTACTACGAGCCTGGCGTATGAGGAACTTTCCACGGTGTCACCGGTGACACGGTGCACCGTCCGGCATCGATAACTCGACTGTGCATCGGACGAAGTCACCGAGAACACCAGAAGCTCTCCAGTCGGCAGCATGTGATGTCTGTCATCTGAAAATAGATCGAGACCGCTTACTCTTTACCACGATACGTTTCTCGCACTTACTTTCTACAATTATTCGTGCTTTGTACACCCTATACGACGCCTCGTGCCTATCTTTGCTTCTTTGTCCATTTTCTTTCTTTTGTTCTGGACTTTTCCACGTTTTTTCATTTTTCTTCTTTTCTCGATCGAAATTTCAGGCCAATCGCGCCTCGTAGCTTACAGCCGGACACGGTTCCATTAATATGCAAATTCCTTTAATGGAAAATTCTCCCCGTTGCCCGCGTCGCTAGTGCACGCGTCGTAAATCGACGAATAATAAAAACGGGGGGAAAGGGGCGTTTTAAAGGAGCGAGGCAGCAAAATGATTTGGAAACTAGGCCTTGTTCGTTTAATGGAGGCCAACGGCCGCCATTAAGCGGCCGAGCGAAATGAAAATTTCTGCCCGTTGTCCGGACGCGTTGGCTGCGTTTGACCGAAATAACGGGCCGCGCCGGACTGGCCCGTGGGGATGCGCATCGGCCGCCGGTTAATTCCATACAGTCGCTTGCGGATCGATGCTCGTAAAAAAATCTCGCGGGTTAGCTGTGCATCAATCGTGTAACCCGCGTCCTCAACGTGGCTGTCGCTCACACAGACGAGATATAGCCCGAAAACTTGTCACGTTCCCCTCCAGTCTAGTGTAAATCAGTCATCTTCTCTCTTTTTCCATTTCCTTTATTTCCTTCTCTTTCGTTCTCTGTTGCGAATATACTCGTCACGAAGGAATGACATCTCTTTTCGCGGAGGATAAAACATATTTGTAAATTTCAGACACTTTGGAATATTTTGAGACTAGACTCGGCTAGTTCTTTTTACATCGCTTCTACGTATTTTCTTGATCTGTTACTATTGATTATTATTAATTAATACCAATTAACTAACGTTAATTAAGTTGAGCGATAAAATTATTGATCTTTTAAAAAAAGAAAGAAGCTAGTATTATTTCCCTGTGGTTTAATTCAATTTTACAGTGACTGCGCATACTCTCTGTGTTTCGCTGTGAGCATAATCGTCATCGAGTCGTCCGAGCGACGTAATGTCAGATGCACACAATTAAAAATGACAGCCATCGAGAGGTTCAGTAAAAATCGTAAAAAAAACGTTGTCTCGAGCGACGAAATGAATTATCCGTCAAACGAGGTTTCTGCCAGATCGATCTCGTGCTAAGCCAAAACTGTGCTAATTATTCCCTTTTGCCACTTCCACGCCAACACCTCTAGCCTTATTGGATTAACAGACACAAAGTTCAGCAACGGCGCACACGTGGGAAAATTATGTTTCCAGCGTACCGTTTCGAGTTAACTTAATACGTTCGAAATCCCGTACGGGGGGAGGGAGGGGGGGGGGGGAGTTGCTCTGATCGATATCCCGTGTGAAAACTCAGCCGCGACGGCGTTCGGCAATTACCGATTATTCAGATCACGTTCCATCGACGTTCGAAGGAGATTGTTAATCCCGGTAACAGAACGCTCCGACGAACGAATAATTGCCGATCATCGGAATCTGTTTTCCCACGCCGACTCTGACTGTCGACTGTTAAAATACCTATTTCTGTTTTTTTTTTTTTCGTCTCTTAATCCGCGAAATTAACAGCGGATTCGTTTCGAATTGGTTTCGCGAGCGCGCAGAGTGCAATACAGGCGCAGAGGATGAACGCGAAGGTGAGCGAGAGGGGAACGGCGGTGAAATGGCGTTGAAAGAGGAAGCGCGATACGGGCCGCGCCTTCTAATGTAAATTACGCGAAATCGTTGCACGAGTGACGCCACACGCGAGCACAAAGGGACGCTTTAGCCGCTATTTTTCCTGCTTTTTTCCCCCTCGGCTGACACGAAATATATTACGTAAATTCCCTTCTTCCGTGACCATTTCCAACGCAGGCAGAGCGGCGGTCGGCCGTGTGTGGTGTCGTGCGTGACGCGGTAGAAAATGCATCGCGCGAAAATGTTTTTGCCCCGCGAGTTCGCACCTCGACGTATAAACGACTGCATTTGCTTCGATACAGTATTCATGCTCGTTCTACCAACCCCTCCTCCTCTCTCGTTCTCAACACCCGTCTCCACCGCCCCCTCCTCTCTTCACTCCGCTCCCGGTTGCTACTCTCATCGCCCAGTTCTCGCGCAGCAGTGTCAATATTTCGTCGTTCGTCGTAACACGCGTATTACCTACCTTTCCGCCTCTCTCTCTCTCTCTCTCTTTCTCGTTCTCTCTTTCTCTCTCTGTGTATTACATTATTCTCGAGGAAATTGCTCGGAATTCCAGTCGCTCGTTGAAACGCGCGGCCGTTATAGCCGAAGCGAGAGTGGAAATGCACGTGAGTGTCGGCTGAACCTTAGGGGTTCGGTTTGTACGCCGGCAAAGAAGGGGGAATGCGAGGCCACCGTAAAAATGTCCGGGCAGTCTGCGATCTCGCTGGGAAACCCCGACGTATTTGCATACGTCGCGCGCAGACTTGCAGAAGAAATTTTATTATCCAGCAAATTAGCCGTTGAAAGCGTTAAACGAGCTCGTTTTCGCGTGAAACCGTGCCATTGCCAGTCGTTAACCGAGTTTCCTGGATGGGAGAACGGCCCAACTATCCAGCAAAAAAATTAAAAAAAAAAAAAATAAAAAAATAAAAAATCGAACACTTATTATAACGGTGGATATGCTTGAAAGACGAAGGTTAGCGACGATAACGCGCCAGGGCTGACTCATTGCGTGGCTCGACCACTGGCGATACTTCAATCAGCGCGCGGTTCCGTAATCGCGCGATTAGAACATCCGGCTCACAATCTACTCGGTCACTTGTTAGTCCGTTAGGGCTAATCGATTCGTTGCTCTCGTCGCGAATTCGCGGAAATAATTTATCGGCCAGGTAGCACGAACGACGCTTGTAAACTGATAGAAAATCGATAACCGAATGTCGAAAGTTTCGAGCCGACGGATACCGCAGCTATTCGAAACCTCTTGCAGAACTTTGATCCCGTGCCGTAGCCGAGCGGAGAGCTCTTTAATCACTCGCCGACAGCTTTAAACGAAACATCCGAATATCGTTTCCCTCGCAACTCTGTTCATTTCGCTTTTTCTTTCTGTTCTTTCTTTCCTTTTTTTTTTTTTTTTTGAATCATCGAAACGATAACGAGAAAAGAGCACCGATGTGCCTGGCGATCGATGATAAACAAGAAGTGACGAGCGGAATCGCGGCGAGAGTTCCCTTCCATCGAGTCGGAGTGGAACACTTCGTTTCCAGCCGCGTGACTGGAATTTCACGCTAATAAGAGTAATGGACCGAGGGAAAAGGTTCACGGTGTAAAACATCGACGGCGGCGGCAGTGGCAGAGGCAGAGGCGGGAGGATACAGTGACTGGCGCCACGGGGAAATGACAGACTGTCTATTTGGCTGATGGGGCAGGATTTAATCAGTCGGTTCGACCACGCGAATATTTTTGCACGTGCACGCGGAATAATATGCTCGAATAAGCCAGACCGTGGGCGCGGAACGCCAGAATAGAACGCCGGTGCCTATGGTTCTCGCTGAGTGAACTATGGAGGCAGCCCGGCTCGCTCTCACCAGCCGAAAAAAAGACGCCATAGAGGCAGGAGAGACGCGGCACCAGTAGCAGGAGGGTCAGAGAGGCAGAACCGATTTCGCGGATTTAATCTCGCTGCAAGACTTCCCCAACCGGCTCGTGGCCGTGGTACAACGTGTAACACGCATGAATGGAGATGGCAGATTTCCGGTCGGGTCAAACGAAACATTTTTTAATACCCATTAACCAGTTGAAATGCCATTTAGCCGGTGTAATAATTCTAAAAGCACCCGGTTTCAGAAGGGATAGCCCGTTCCATCTGCACCTCCGTCTATCTACCTATCCCTACACCCCCCGCCCCTCCCATCCTGTGTATGGGGCTACGCCGTGTTTTTTCCCTTTCACCCCTCCCTTCTGATTCTCTTTTCCTCTTCAGCCGGGACGCAAAATTGAGAATACAATGGCACGCGAACGAATGCACAAGCAGCGGCGAGCTTTTAGCCGCTCGAGCATTTAATCCTGGCGAAAATACCAGGTGAACGCGTATTGTTCCGATATGATGAGAGGAGTACTGATAGTCTTTCTCTCTTTCTCTCTCTTTCTCTGTGTCCGTGTTAACGTACTACTGGGACATGGTCGAGAAACCGGTAAATTGTCAGCGGGCGTAATAAATGTTTTTTTGCCTTTTTCTCTTTTTCGGTGGTTGTTGTTGCTGCTGTTGTCGTTCCCTTGTATTTCAGCGAATATTACATTAAAGGCTGTCGGCGATAAGCCAGCGCGCCACGGCAGGCGAGACAATGGCCGTCGACGCTGCCTGCCGTTGCGATCGCGTTGTAATCGCTCCGCCTAGCGTGATGCCAAACATGAACATCCTGACTGACTGATTCGCGATTTCATCTGCTCGTTTGACAATGAGCGCCAAACGCACACCGGCAGGAGTGAGTGGTGTCCGTGACTTAACCGACGTTCGACAACGTCCGAACGTAGTTAATTAAACTTAATCCCGTGCCGGCAGCTATTCGAAATCAGATCTCGACGATATTCAGAGATGCGTGGACGCGGTTCCACAGTCTCTACGAAATTTCGAGACTGATCGACACCTGCATCTTTCTCTCTCTCTCTCTCTTTCCGCGAAATTACGGTGAAATCGCTCTCGACGAGGTCACCGTGATTTTGCCGCGTCTCGAACAACAAGCAAGAACAAGTATTGAACAACCGCCTCCCTGCGTGAGACTCGCGTAACCTGTCCACCGTTACCGAAATGCATTTGCATAGTTCGATTTATATGAGCCGGGAACATACGTTCCTCCAGAGTATCATCCAGCAGGAAACACCAACCAGGACCAAAGGAATCGAGGGAAAGTTGGCGCGCTTCGATGCGTGAAGCTTTTTCCAAGCACGCAACGCGCGATATAAATCACCGCGCGGATTTTCTTGTCGTTCGCTTATCGGGGTTATGAATCTCGCGCGCAACCGGATCACGATGGAACGCTTTAAATCGCGCCAACTTTCCTCCGTATAAATCCTTTGCGCTGGCCGCGACAGCTTCCGTTCAACCTCCGCGCGAAGCGTTCGCTATTCAGATTAACAGTCGGCGAGCTACCAGTCGATTGTTCGAGCGAACGAACAACGAGGAACCAGAGAAAGATAAAAAAAAGAAAAGAAAAAAAGAAGAAGATTCATTTTCCCCTCTGTGATTTCAAGAATCACAAAGTCTCGATCCTCGTTGGAGAACGTTTTCGAGCGAGCCGACAGCTCTTACGGATTAAAAAGGCGGAGCGTCGCGCGATGAAAGTACGGCGACGTGATCGCGAAATACATAGTTGATCTTCGCCTTTTGTGCCCCGCGTCGCTTCGAGAACGATTTTCGAGCTTTCGATCTGTTGAAAGCCTCTTCGCGTGTGCGATTTCTCAAATTGTCGCGTGATAATTCTTATTCGCCGTCGTAGGAGGGATGGATGATCGCAAAGGGGGACGTCGGGACGTTGTTGAAAACTGTTTGGATAAAGTTCCACGCTCTTGTAAGAGCGATAAATCGATATCTCTTAGGCGACGTTCTTTCTCTCCTTCTCTCATTTTTTTTCACGTTGCATTTTCCGCGTCCGTGTTATTCCTCGACGATCCTTTCCTGGTGGGGGGAAACTTTCCTGGGGGAAACCCGACTCCCTGGAAAAACTTTGGTTTTAAGCTGTTCGAGCTGCAAACTGTCATTGCCTATTTACCGGTCGCGATCCTCACCAGAGGGGGTGCACGATGAAAAATTTCCGGTTAAAGTCGCAAAGTGAACGCGAAAAGCGACAGAGAGAAAGAGAGAGAGAGAGAGAGAGAGAGAGAGAGAGAGAGAAGCGAGATGCATCTAACGGAAGTTTGGTGTCCGGAATTCTGGCTTTCAAGCTATTCGTAACCATTAAGCGGCTAATGGTTATGGTTATGGCGATCGATCGGGTTTCGCGATCAACGGCGTACACCAGGACCCGATTAAAAATTCACGGTGGTGTGTATTAGGCGGGGACGGTAGGTGTCAAGCTCGGACTTGCTCGGTGTTCGTCGTTCGCAAAAGCTTGCAAACGAGTAACTTTCGGTTTGTCTACCCGGCGAAGTCTCTGAACTGGCGGGTGCTGTGAATGAAAACAGCCCGGGGCTGTTATCACTGCGATATCGTTCCGGCGTCGTTCCAAGCTCGCACGCCGCGCACAAACATCGAACGCCATGATCTGTTTCCCCTTCGATTTACGCGCCGTGAAATCTCGATCGGATAACAAAAGTAATAAAACAGAAAAATTTTTTCGAGCCTTTCCACGGGAAGGAAAGGTGCGAAAACTGCAACAAAAATAAGGAAAAGGAGAGAGAGTCGTGTAACCTATATTCGCGTCGTCGAATAAACGGAAGGAATGAATCCTTTCGGGGCAATCTGAATATCTCGGCTATCGCGAGGAGTTCTATCTTGGTAATTACCTCGATGTAACCGCTTTTTGCATGGGATCCACTTGAATCGAGAGATCCTCGGGATGCATGGACCGTATCATACCCCTCGAGCAGATGGAGAGGGAGAGAGAGAGAGAGAGAGAAAGAGAAACGAAAATCAAGTTAAGGAGGAGGAAAAGAGCAGGAAGAGAGACGACACCGAGTTCAGAATCGACTAGTGAAAATGCACCAGTTAGACGAAAGGGCTTGTACAGGATACTGCAAAGTAGAAGATGGCTGAAGGTTCTCGATGCGCGTGGGCACGATCAGCCCCGGTGGTGAATTTGCATTGTGACCGGAAGCTTCGTGTTTGAGCTGCACTGCACAACTCCCCGAGCTGCATCTGCTTCGATGTTCCCTGCGCTTTAATCCTTCTGGAGAATCGTCGATACTCTTCCCACACCCTCCCTGCCCCGATGCAAGGATACCCGATCGTTACGTTTCATCCGGGTCGTTAAATTAACGAACGGAACGTATCGACGGAGGAACGGAACCAAGCCTTTCGAGAGTCACGAAGTCGACGTTCGAAACGAACGCAAGAGGCAAAGACGGAGAGAAGATCACGGAGAAATTGCCGGGCAACTTTTGTTCTACTCGGCGTCTACTTCGCCAAGTGGCTATCGGGCGGCAATCTTATCGCGACATTCTGCTCGATATCGCCAAACGAATTATTGAAGTTGTTCCGTCTCGCGAGCTCAAACTGCGTATCGATATTCCTCTGGAGGTTCCGGTTATCGAGCGCGTCGGCGATAACGGAATTTTTCCTTTAATTTCCATTCGTTGGACGATCGTCTGCTTTACGATCTTCACTTGGTGCCGCGACGGACTGAGTTTTCAAGTAACAGCGGCAGTGACGTCAATGAAAAGAACTTACCAAGGACAGGAATAGAGATCGATTAGAGGAGACGAGAGAGAGAGAGAGAGAGAGAGAGAGAGAGAGACCGAGCGGTTCGCTTTGTACGACTGAACTATTATAATCGAACTAGCCAGATCCTCGTCAAGTTTCCTCCTTCTGTAGGAAATTGCCGTCGAACAAGCGGCTCAAACGAATATCAGACACACGGAGTGAGACTCCGACGTATTTCCAGCTTCTCCCCGTATTTCGAAGCAATCTTATCTCGCGACACCGATCTCTAACTACAAAACTCTCTCTTTCTCCTCTCCTCTCTACCCCTTCGCCACTTCGCTCCTCTAGGTCGCTCTGCATCGCAGCGACCTCCAACTTCCGCCGAAATTTGCCCCATACTGTGTGTGTTACTCTTAAAACTTCGTGCTCGCTCCAACTTCCGGGACTGTAACCCGGAAAATCCATCGGGAATCTAAACGCAGCTCTACCCCCGTTACCATTATTTCCAACGGTCGCCAGTTAGAGGGCAGATAGATAAACGTACCGGAGCTTCGTTACCGCAGCTTCCTTGGCCAATTATTCGCCGTAATTAGCCACCTAAAGCGAGCCTAACTGCGGACGTGTCCAGCCACTGTCCGTCCGAAACTTCGCCGTTGACGCGTCGTTGCGTTGATGTCGGACAAGCGGACGACAAACGTTGCGATTAAATCAAATAGCGAGAGAGTACGGCGGGTGAGGGGCAACAGGCGAAGTCCCGGCTGCGTCCTTGGCCGAGGAGGGAGGAAATCCAATCTTGCGTTGGAAGAGGAAATGGAAGGGCACGGGGTGAAAGGGGGGAAGGGATGGTCCCGTCTGAATGGAAAACGAATCACTCGGAAAAGTTTTTAGTCGCGTGCAGATCAACCCGTCGACGCGAGAAAGTTCCCGTTTATTCGGTATAATCCGTTCGAGAGGGAACGACGTCGAAAGAGACAGAGAGAGAGAGAGAGAGAGAAAGAGAGAGAGGTCGAATCGAGTAACTACGATCGAGTTTTTAGCGGAACGTTCGAGAACGAGGTCGAGGAAAGCGGGACGAGAGAGAGAGAGAGAGAGAGAGAGAGGGAGGAATTAGGAGGAAGGAAGTTTGGAGAAAGGGGTAAATGAAGGAGTGAACGAAGATCGGACAAGGTCTGAAACGTCAGTTTATGCGTCCGACGCAAACGTAAACTTCCGTTTGACGCGTGGATTGCGCGTTGAACTGGCGATCCGCTTGGATGACACAATGTAATCATTGGCGGCGGTGGGGAGAAAAGTTGGGAAAAGTTTCACAGAGATGGAGAGGAGGAGGAGGAGGAGGGAGAGGATGGAAAGTAGGAATGCCGGCGGAGCGGGGGTTGGTTGGTGTCGGGAGTCGCGATGAAATAAAAGTTGCAAAATTTAACGGGCGCTGCATTCAATCAGCGTTCGTTTGTGATCAAACGAACACAGTTTCTTCTTTCGTCGGCTGAACTTCTTCTTGTCCCTCTCTTCCCCCTTTTTTTTACGCCGGGCGCGTAATTTCGCTATCCGCCTTTCGTCTGAGTAAGTAAGAGGTTCCCTAACTATCCGGCGGAGATGTAAGGTCGAATCGTTGAGGGAGTTTGTCTCGACGAACGATCTCGATTTCGGAGGAATACAAAAGGATACGGTTCTCGTCACTGGTGAGTTTTTTCTAGCCGTTTGTAACGCTGCCGGTCGGCGAAATTCTCATAAACTCTACGTGCGTATATGCTCGACGAGGGCCCCTTTTTTTTCCACGTGTAATACCACAATTCGCGTCGGCTTAGGGGCGTACACGAGAGAGAGAGGGGAGGCGGTCGTTGCACGTTAATGTGTGTACGCGGATACTCGAATAGTCCCCTCAGACTCTAATTAACTCGGATATTGACCAGAGCAGCTTATATCAGCGTGTGTGCACGCGGTAACGCGGGCTTTTTGCTCGGCGCGGCGTTCGGTCGCGGTACACAAAACCGAGGGGAGAGAAACCGGGCAAAAAAGTGGCTCCAATTTATCAGGCTCCTACGGTTTTTATCGGCGCGCCATTTTTACGTGCCTCTCCAGCAGCAGAGGGGAGGGGGCGTAAAACGTCAAAAACCTCGCAATCACGAACGCACCGAGACGTGACATCGGTACGCGATACGATAAGAGCTCTTTTCGAATGCGTAACGAGAATGCGTACCGAATCGCGTTATTCGTTCGAGAAACATCGAAACCTTTTGTTCGTATCGAGTCATGCCTCGTCCTCTCGATATCGACGATGCGCGAGTCGATGTTGTCTGTTGAACGATCTCGATGGACGACGAAACGTCGAAACAGTTTAAAAAAGGAAAAGAAAGAAAGAAAAATGAAACTGCATCGGCGAAAAGGTATCTCGAGTGATGAATGTTATTAAATAAATCGACGAAATTGAACGCCAATCGTCCATTTCGATACTAACGTTAAAAATTTTCTAGAGAGATTTGGAATTGATCGAGTTTGAAACTGAAACATCACGATGAGCGATAGTTTAGTTAGGAGATAACTGCATTTGGGCGAGCCAGCGGTTTTAGAATACCAGACACGTCCGTTCCAGCCTTATCAAACTCGGATCAATTTATTGCTATCTCACTCACCGCTTTTCGGCGTTGGAAAGATGTTGTAGGCTGAATCTCGAACCCAGGACGTGACCGCCACGTACTCCTTAACGAACGTTGGTATTTCACACCTGAGCACTCCGGTATTTCCAGGCAAAACGTAGGCATCTCGCACTTGGACCTCGTACTTTTGACGTACCACTGGAAGAAAAGCAACGTTTTCACGTTATTTTTCAAGAAACTACTTAGTACAATGATTAACTCTTTAACCGCGACGCTGCGACTGTTCATCTTCACTACTGCTTGTCACATTTACTTGTTACTTCTTTTCTACTGGCTAAATATTTTCAGAGTATACTATATTACTTGGAAAAATAACGAATGAACAAAATTGTAAAACTGATCGCAAATTGAAATAAATAAACACTTGAATATGCAGCAAAGGAATAAGTTTATACGAGTCAATTCGCGATGCGATTATGCGAGCGTACGTGTGTACGAGAACACACGAAATTGAGACTGAACGGTATTGAGGAAAATACGGAGATATTGAAACAGTCGCTGATATTCGGCTATTTGCAGTTGCTACGTTACACGAAACGATAAATTCTGTGTCGGAACTATTTAGTAAAACAGTAAATGTGTTATAATAAGAGAAATTTGAAGGACATGTATATATGCCTTTCGTAAATATTGAATGACATGTGAGGACGTATATATACGCCTTTCGTAATCAAGGGATTAACGTATTGCATGAAATGATGCAGCGTTTATGGAACGAGGAAAAGAGAAAAAGGGAGACTGCTCGCGACGAAAGAGACAAAATCCAAGGAAAACTGATCCAGACAAATTTGCAAGAATACGTATTTTCGATTCGACGATTCTATTTTCAGTCGCGGTACAATTATCGTCAGAATTGTTCCCAAACCGTCAAGCGATTCGCACTCAGACGATCGATAAAGGCGAAAACAGAGTCTCGAAAGTTCAACAGTTTATGGCCAGATGTTCCGTTTCTCGTCGTTAACTCCAATAACGTATTACGCATTTTCTATTACAGACTCGTTATTCTGCCGACGAACAACGCGGCTTTTCAACCCGTCTGCGAACCGCGCTTTCGGTAATTAGTGCCTCCCTCTCGCGTTCTCTCCAACCCTGCTCTCCGGCTTTCGCTTGCAACCTACCCCTCCCCCACTCCCGCCCCCTCGTTCTCCTCTGTGCAATGCAACTCGGCGATTCTTTCCAGAAATTCCCCCGATTCACGAGCCGCTAAACGCGATAAGCGATTCTTGCCAGAACTTCAGGTCGCGATTGTTAGTCGTCGCAAAGCTGGTGAAATCTTTCGTTCGTTCTTTGTGCGCTCCGGCGGTGTTTATACCCTCTCCAGTTCGTTCCCTCGTCTCGTACACGAAACGCAGCAACACGTACACCGACAACGAAGGAACGTTCGTCTGTTTCCGCTGGAGAATATTCACGAACGAAAGCGAAAGAGACGAGAGAGAGCTGCATCTTGATTTTGGCAGCGAGTGCCAGCCAGAGTTCGAAAACGACGACAAATGTGGTTGGCTCGGCGCTCCCGTGAAACGGTCGATTACGTTTACGAGCGGAAGATAGCCAACTGCCGGGGACACGGTCCGATAAGAGGAAACCACCTAGCGAAAGAGCGCCACGAAAGAGTTGCGCGACGATCGAGGCGCTAAATGCCCACCGTCCGATACCAACGAGACGCGACGCTAAATCGCAGCTTTTACATTCGCGGCTGGAGAACACGACCGCGCTGCTGCTGCTGCTGCTGCTGCTGCTGCTACACGCTGTGTTCAATGGCGTAATTGCCGGCTACGATACACCGGAAACGTTGCTCGGCAATTTTTTGCCAGATTACCGCCGCCCGTGTTTTCTGGTTCAGAGTCCGAGAAGCACTCTTTGCCCGAACGATTTTGTACACTTCTTCGCAAGAAGCACTCCGCTCGCCGCGAGATATCCCGGGAACATGGTGCTCTCGTTATCGCGGTCGGCGATTAATAGGGCAAGCATAACGCAGAAAATTTCTACGAGATGGGGGGAAACAGATGGGAATAAATGGACCACGAATTTTCACGCAAATTCACGTTTTCCCGCGAGGACAACCAAACCAGTTTATTTTCACCGTGTAAATCTGTAGCATCATCTTTGAGCATCTCTTTACGAATAAACGTTTCTGCATGCGAAAGCATAGAAAAGTCCGTGAAGCCCAGAAGCAACGAGAGGGAAGGGAAAGAATCGATAACGCGTCGCGAGCGAGCAATTTTCCAAGAATCACGCGGACGAAAGTGAAAGATGATGATGCACGGTTGATACGAAGAAAGAAAAGGCAGAAATTTCCGCGGGGAACAGAATGGGAATAATAAAACGGGAGAGGATGGCGAAATTGATGGTACACGAATCGTGATAAAAATAGCGGAGCAATTCGTCCAAGAATCATGTAGATGTGAGTGAAAGACGAACGGAGAGTGGAGGAGCCAGGGGAAAAAGCGTAGAGTCCGGGGTAAGGGAAGGGAGATGGCGATCGGCGAGGGAAGCAAAGAAATAAAGAAATACTCACCGGCCTTTACCGTGATTTCACGGCCCAACACCCTGCCGACGCTGTTCGACGCTTGACATCTGTAGACCGCCGAGTGGACGTCGTGCCGGTAGGTCTCCGCGCCGAAAGGCAAGAAATACATCGAACCGTTCACCAGCATCTCACGGATGTGCGGTATAGGGAGGACCGGCGACTCGTCTCCCATGAGCCAATCGATCCTTGGCAACGGGCTGCCCTGGGCCGAACAATGGATCATAGCCCCGGTCTCGTTCGAGAATTCGACCGACGAGCGTGGCTCGGAGATCAACACCGGGCCCTGACTGTCCAACACCACTCCCCGTCCTGTAACATGGATCGCGCGGCGTGTTCCGTTTAGAAGGATCGACGTTCGGGCACGCGGAAAATTGAGAAGGCTTTTGGCAAGACGCTAATGGAACACCCGGGGCCGAGATTGCCCGGCGTTAATTTCTGTGAAATTGTATTAGCCGGAATTTCGGGGATGTCGTCGGTTTGCCGAGGGAATTTACCGAGGGTCAGGATATATCGATTCGGGCCTGCGAGTAAGAACAACGGACTGTTTGCCGCCGCGTTGAGCAAGTTTCCACCGTTTATAGAACTGTCCGCGCATTATCCGCGCGGCTGTACATACGCGGGTAAGGGTATTTTACGTCGGTGAGCTACGTACGAAAGTGGAGAAACGTTTTATACGTCCCGCGGGAGACATCGTTCTCGTTCAACAGCTCTTGGATGCAGCCATAGCTCCGCACTCTGCTGCAAAGTAGGGCCGCCACTTTGCTTCGTGACAGATCGCTGTGATTGACTGTTTACGGGAAACTTTCGATGATATCGATGCAACGAGGTGGAGAATATTACGATTAAAGTTCTTCTCCTTCTTGCTTCGCATAGTTCCGGAATGAAAAATTGATACGGAGAATCTATTTCGAGAGAGACAACCGAGCGATGATGTTCAATCGTCGAACGCTCGGGCTTGATCGAGGGCGATGTGTCTAAATAAACTATACAGACCTCGACGGAGAGAAGGCTATTCTTCTTTAAACGAATTAAATAATTCATCGGAAGGCGTATCGAATCAATAAGGATATTCGACCGGATAAAGAAACAATTGCTTTCTCAATATTCTCTTGGCCGCCCCAGGTAAAGCTTGGAGCGGTCGCTTTGCAACTCCTTCGATATATTCTCTCCGCGCAACTGTGTGGTAAGCAGTTTATATTGCAAAACACACGTACGTATACGTACGTGTACGCACGTACGGGTATATCCACTCGATAAACGCCGGAGGACTTCTGTTTTGTTATAAAGCATCCAAGGGGCGGAATACCCGTACCAACGATGCGCGGCAATAACCGCGAGATTGATCATATTCGATCTTCGTCTTCTCAGTTATTGCGGTTTGCGCGCGAAATCATTTGCATTCGTCGCTCACTTCGTTCAAGCGAGCGACAATGTGAAAAATATCTCAACGACTTCAAACAGATTTATGTATAACTCGTTTCTTAACGTCTAAAGTCGTTACTTCGAACCAGCTCGATCGCAAAAGGCGATTTATGTATAACTTATGTATAACTCGTTTTTATGTATATACGTTTTATGTATATACTCTATTTTTGTATAACATTTATGTATAACTCGTTTCTTAACGTCTAAAGTCGTTACTTCGAACCAGCTCGATCGCAAAAGGCGATTTGATTTTTAGGAAACATCATCGAAAAATGTGTTGCAACAACGACTGGATCTGGGTGTTTAGAGTGTGTGTAATATGTGTAACGCGGTACATCTAACCGAAATTTGTGAACTGACTTGGTGAAATATCTCGGAGAATCAAATTTATTGACAATCAGACGACGTGAAAGTTCAATCGTTTCTAAAACTAGCCAATCAGATTTAAAAGACGAGCTGTTTAATTGCTCTGCTGTAGATCGTCTAAAAATTAAAGCATCGATGAGGCGATTGATGCTAATTGTTTCTAGATGATAACAAACCACAAGTTTGCTGGGTCAATGACCGTTTTCATCTACGTGATACTTCTGAGCTCTGATTTCGTAAATATTAAGCGAAAACATCCAACGGAAACATAAACTAATATAAACCAAGATTCAGTGTGCAAAAATGTTCAACATTCTAACGCGCTAACAATGTGGTTATTCGTATACTGCTCTCGTGCGACTTTCGCGTCGATCGTTAAACGCGGAAGAATAATAAAACCACTCGGTTGAGATTCACTGCATCCAAATATAATGACAGCCGAAGCTTCTTGGGTGGGCGACGATAAAACGCGCACGTACGCGTTGAATGGAGCGCAAAACGTCGCCCCTCTCGACATCGCGTTCCGATTGCAACATTTATTGCACTCCCTCGCCCGCTCCCGAACCGTATCATTTCCTCTCCGGAGCGTTTCCTCTCTCGTTTCCTCTTCACAATCCCACGTGTCTCTATATCAACGGATTTCTCCCCCTATCTATCTACCTACCTACCTACGTCGACCGTAGGCAAATCTGATATATCGTCCGAAATTTCAGTACAATGTTTTTCACCGATTGGTTCGCCAACGCGCGCGTGAAACGCATTACGTGCTAACGATGATTTGACAAGCATAATGTCGGTAGTTACGGCGCGATCGTGAAAGCTCTCCGGAGCTTTGTCGCGCGCTGCAACGTGAACGGTGAACGCAGTCGTGTATGCGCCGGAAAGACGTTTATGTTCGGCGCTTCCTGCGCGCGATGCAGCTGCGTCACCAGTTTACAGCGTTATGCAGCGTCGCCATCTAGCTCGCGTTTATACATGCATGCTCCAGCTCGCTGCTCTCCGCCAGCATACACGCATGTACGTATGCATCTATCCTCACACGTACGGACTGGATCGTACAGTGTATTCGGAATAGAGAGTGCAGCACATATCGCGCGTGCATCGGTGTATCTGCAACGGTTCCCGGGGACCGTTCTTCCTTTTCCCATGGCAGGTGAATGCTCTCTCTCTCTCGCTCGCTCGTCGAAACGACGACCATGGAAAACAGGGTTAAATTAGTACGCGCGTAACGTAGTTTGTCGCTGACAGTGAAGACCGCCGTAAAACGGTTATTAAGGGGGAACTATGCCCGGCGTAAAGGAAAATTCTGTCTGCGTCGTTCTTCTTGTTTACCAGCAAATTCAATAGACATTCCGTCTAACTCGATAAACGGGCGGGTAGCTCTTTCTCGGATTCTTTGTTCCCCCGCTTTATCGTCGGGAATCGTGGACGGATATAAACGCGAGATAATGACTCTTTGACGCTCAGCGTTCGCGTTTCACGCTTCTCGACGTTGCAAGGCATTGCGAGAGATATTTTTCGCCCGGAATGTAAACTCCAGGTGGAGGTGTAAACTCCGGTTCGTCGAACGCTCGTTAACGTTAATTAAAAGGGTCGTCGGGAGCGATTCTACTTCGCGATCGAGTAAGCAGATTAAAGGAAATAGTCCGCGGCCGAGAACGCCAACGACGAAAGGACGACACGGGTAGACAGATCGAAATCAATCGAAATTATTTGCCCGTTCGACCGTGTCCGCTTGTATTGTAGCGAGCGTTTCAATCTCTCGGCGAACGCGAGACGAACAAAAGCAACGTGAACGTACGATCCAATTAACGGACTGGAATCGTGTAATTCTACAAAGAGTCGATTAATTCAGCAACGCCGCATTTCCATAAGTAAGCCTGCTAAACACGTTTCCCTCCTTCCGCTGCGTCTGCGATACACAGCGCGCGAACGCAGCCAACCGATCCGTCTCTTTAGTCGCCGTTTCACGCACCAGCGAATAAACAAATTAACGGAATAAGGTAAAACTGCAAATAAACAGATCGAGAGAACGCGGATGAGCGAACACGAGAATATAAACAAAGGAGAATCACTGCCGCGTAAATCTCCGCCGTCTTGCCATAAATTCCGCTTGCGATCGTTCGTAACATTCGCGCGGACCTTTTTTTTTTTCAATTTCTCTCCGCTCGTTTGCTCCCCGTCTTCGTTGCTTTTAAAAGCCGCGTGTTTGTCCCGGAGATTCGTGACACGGTCACCGGCGCTCCATACAGCTCCCCCTATATTTGTAACCGACACTTGAAATCCCCTTGTACAACTTTCAGCAAAAACGCGTTCAATCTCGTTACGAGCGATGTACCCTCGAGCGTCCGCGCAGTAACACGTGTTACACGCGCGGTTACATGCGACGTACCGGAGAAAAACCGGATCTGCGACCGGGAGGTACCTCATTAAGGGGAGGAGGCGCTGGAATCGCGAAAACGCACGAAAACCAAACATCGAACGCGTTTACGCGCTCTGTCCAGATATTCACGGGCAGTGGTTTCGCGGTGAAAGCAGAGGATGATGAACTCAACGCGCGTAATTCCACGCCATCGCGTTTTTTTATCTTTCCGCGCGGACGCGTGCAACGCGCCAACGCTCGCCTCTCATAAATGCAGCTTCCTTTGTCTCCCTCTTTTGTCCTTTCTTTCCTTTTCTTTTCCCTTTTCCTATATCGTTGCCTCGGGCAATGAGGAGGCAGAACAGAGAGACAACACGGCGCGAAGCCAAAGGAACACGAAACGCGTAAAAACTATCGGTTCAACGAATCGCGCGAGAAATATACTCTTCCTCTGCCGGAACCGGTCGTATCAGGTCGGACAAAGACGCGATCTGAAAGTTCGCACACACCGTAAATACCGTAGCGTGTCTGTATTTCGGCGTGCACGTCTGACCAACTGGCCTTTATATTACACCGCGCGAACACCCGATTCCCTCCGCATCAGCGCTCAATAGAGATTTCAACCCCCTTTTCATTCGCCCCGTTCCGCGCTGCCCGAATTCCCGCGCGCCACTATTCCCCTCCGTTGACTATCTCGACAGGTCAACTGCGAGATCGAACTCGACGTAACGATAATCGGCGTCGTTATCGCCGCGTACTCGAAACACGAATGCTGTAATCGTTCGTCCCCTCTTTCGAACAGTGACGAATTTCTCGCATGAATACGAACGAACTACGCGAAATGAAACGTTGAAACAGCGTTCCAACATTTGACGAGGTCGATACACGCTGCGTCGAGGCGGATAGGAGAGTAAGACGCGTTGTCGAGGAGTATGAAATTCATCCCTCGACCGGCGAGCATCTGCTGCCACGCGCACAACGGCGCGCGTAATACGTGGCTTCGCGGAACAGGATTGAACGCGGCTTAATTAATCACGGCGAAATTCGGCGCTAAAACTTGTTTGCAGTTGCCCCGCCTCGGGCGACAGGGTTAATTTTGCTTATGCGAGGGAATATCCGGGCAGAATTTAGAGCAAACTTCCGTCTGTCGACCACA